CTATTTCGCAAACACCTTCTGGGATGATTGTCTACCTTATTTTCCAGTTAATGCATAATGGCTGTGTTGCTTATGGTTGAAATGGCTAGAAAGACTTTGCCATTGTATGCTTGTAATTAGTTTTTGTAGTGTTGCGTTTGTTTTAAATGTGGTAAATTATAGATTTGTTTTTGTTGACTTTGTACCGCGCTTCGAGCCTTTGGGGATGAAGCGTGTTTTTGAAATGAACTTTATTATTATTATTATTATTATTTATTTAGATAAAATTAATTTTATTTTTATATCGCAATATTAGTAACGCACTATAATATGCACTAAGATTAACAGATTTTGTGTTTTTCCGATAAATTTTATTAACATACAAATCTTTGAGCCAAATATTTAAACTATTTTTTTTTTATAACTATTACATTCGAATAAAATCCATAAAACAGTTCGTTATTTTGATACTTTGAATTTTTTTTTGTTATAATTTGTAATAATAAATTTTAAACTTTTACTAAAATTAAATCGGATTTAAAATATTTTTTGCGAATCTAAATTTATGCGAATTCCGTAAAATAATAGAAAATAACTATGATAGTTTTTAGGAATCCGAACGTACTAAAATCATATCGGATCTTTGGCGTTATGTCACTCTAGCTCATTCTTATACATATTATTTGTTACGATTTTTTCGTCAAAGGCAAGGATTTGGATTTTGTTAGGAGAATGAGCTGTTTCCTTGTCGGTAGGTCCACGCTCTGAACGCTTCTGGTGATCACATTAGAATATCAAATTAATGATACAAACATGGCAAAGGGAAGTTGCAGCAGCTGCTGGGTCCAAGGTATACCTCATAGCAGGAATTCTTTTACTTAAAAAAAAAAAAAAAAAAAAGTGTACCTTTACTCCCGGCCCCTTTTCGACCGCTGTTATGGAAAGCCCATCAAAAGGGAAGGTGGAGCAGCTGCTGGGTCCAAGGTATACCTCATAGCCGGAATTCTTTTACTTAAAAAAAAAAAAAAAAAAAAGTGTACCTGTACTCCAGGACCCTATTCGACCGCTGTTATGGAAAGCCCATCCTTTACTATTATAATATGCAGAACTAGCGCATATAAATTCATACATACAAGATGCTCTCTTAACAAAAGACCTAACATATCAGAAGAAGCACATAGGTTTTAACGTGACTTCGCTAAGGCTAAAGTGAGAAAAACACCCTGTTTATCTGGGCAGTAGGCTGCAAAAAAAAAAAAAATAAACAAATGGAACAACTTACTAACGAAATGTGAGTGGCTCGGCTGATCCTTAGTCTAAAATTTGCTTGTCCTTATTAAGCATAGGGCTGAAACATGATAAATTAGGAACATTATAACTTGCACGTTTTATGGAAGTGATAAACAGGGAGAAAGTTTCATCTTTTACACTTTCAGTAATACCTACATCCGTCTCAGCCCGCTACTCCTCTTTATCCACGACGGAAGCCCATCCTTTAAATCTCATTGAACATCCCACTTCCACAAAATTTGACAAACTCTTTCAAAGTCCATTATCCAAGTCAATCAGAACTTTTTCAAACCCTAACTAAAAGTAAACTATGTGGTTTCCAATGTATAATTAGAGACAACACACTAAATATATCTGCAAACGATACATGTTACATATTTTCAGTCACCGTCAACCAATAGAGCTAAGTTAAAGTAACAGAGTTAGTCAGAAAGAAGTTACGCAGTATTTATAATACAGCAATACCGCTGTTTACGACATAATAATTGCTATTTAAAGGAGGTCGTAAATTGAGGGGGTATTAAAAGAGAGGCAGAATATTTTTTTTGAAAAACGACATTTAGAAAATTTAGTAAACAATTAAAAACAGTTCGAGTACAGTTAAGTATAGGCCATATCTACCATATTTCGTTCATAAATATAGATTAAACACTGTCTCTCAACCAATACAGTCGCTATCTACCTGTTACTGGTTAATTCTAAAATAAAAATCATTCTTGTATGGTAGTTGTTTAAAAGCGTATGTCAGTGCTGAGTACATGCTAGAGTTATAACTATGTATGTATAACAAAAAGATAATTAATAGTGTTGTAATTATTTTTATTCTATCATTGAAAATTGTTCTGTTATTTCAGTTTGTTTGCATGATCCCCCACCCGTGCATGAACTTTTAGTTTGTCATTTTGAACACCGATAAATAACTGCAAGGCAGCACCGAACGTTAGCTCTTATGTTCGACAGTCGACTCAGGGTGACAGAGGATCCTACTTCAGGTCATTTTCTTCGGGATTGGCAATACCTTTCGGCGTCCCTCCTCACACTTTGTCCATTTCCTGAATGTCACCAGGCGTTAGGGGTCTTTCCCCTCAATGTTATTCACCTTGCCACCCGAGGACCGTACTCCTTCTTTCTGACTGAGGTTCTTCTGGTTTCCCTTTCGTCCCCCCTTCAGTCCTCCGGAGCCCCTTCCCTCGGGCTAGCCCCTTGAGGTTGCATTTGATCTTGATGCACTCCCGCCCAACGTTATTTAGCGTGTGCTTGTCCACATTGGCCCCGGAATTACCGTCTAGATCGGGCTTATAATAGTTTCTTCGACAGGTGCTTTGGTTCTTCCCTTCTCCAAGGCTCTACTAATGTTCTCACATAGTTTCGTCTGTTTCTAAGACACCTTGTCTCGGCATCCTCTCTCTCTTTGAACACCAGACATGGTGAAAGCAAGTTCTGAAAGACCACTGCTTAGAGCAAATCTGGTCAGCTCTTTGGAGTATTTGAAAAGACCCATTTATGGTTAAGAGTTATTTCCCCCCAGCCACTTTTAAGCTCGGTGGTTCTTAACCTTTTTTGGAGGTACCGAACCCCACCAGTTTCATATGTGCATTCACCGAACCCTTCTTAATAGGAAAAATTTAATATGATTATTTTTTTCTGATTTTTTTTTACCTCCGCTGAACCCCTGCGACTGTCTCACCGAACCCCTGGGGTTCGATCGAACCCAGGTTAAGAACCACGGTTTTAGCTGCTTTCGTACACCGCCTGCTGTTAAGAGTCTTTAAGGGAAACTGTTTTCTTCAAGTGCACATTTTTTGCATTCTTTGGAATCTGACTTTTTCAGGTGCAATGTCGTAAAATTAAATTATTTTATGGTCGCAGGTCGCATTTTGGAGGAGGTCGATTAAGAGAGGTCGTTTATACAGTACAAAGCATTGGTGCATTTTTTTCCGGTCTTATGTTGGAGGAAGTCATTTAAGAAAGGGTAGCAAAACGAAGATGTCATTTCTAGTTTTTCCGACACGTAGATATAAATAGATCGCAAATATTAATAAGGATATATTTTTTTAAGGACACAGAAAATAATTCTTTTTACAATTACGGGTATTTCCAATTAAACTTGTAAACCTGTGTAGTTCTACTGTGCTTTTTTGTTCAAAGTGGTGTCTAAATAGAGCTGTTTACATATTGCAGAAGCTGACTGAGAGTTGATACAAAACGAATTAACATGTTTTTTTACATTACTTTGTTTTATCTTGGATGCTGCTACAGTAAGCCCGATATAAATAATTATAATTGTTCCCAGTTTTATGTACGTAAGAATGTGTTTATTTACTTCATCTAATAAACATAAATGGAGGTTGATGTTATGGAGTCATGAAACTAAATTTAACAAATATATATATATATATAAATGAAACTAAAAATAGTCAAGCAAAATAAAAGCCAAGTTTTCTTCTTCCTGAATGTCAAACAAATTGTAAGAGCTCATTCCCTAGTGTTCGTGCGACAAATCCATTCACCTATACATGCTGTCTTTATTAAATTGATTGGTAATTGACTATTGTGTGTGTGTGTGTGTGTATATATATATATGTATCTATGTATATATATAGATACATATTTATATATATATATATATATATATATATATATATATATATATATATATATATATATATATATATATATATATATATATATAAAAAAATATTTCTCTAATTATATATATATATGTGTGTGTGTGTGTATATATATATATATATATATATATATATATATATATATATATATATATATATATATATATATATATATATATATATATATATATATATATATACACAAATTCATGAATGCATATATAAATTTACATTACAGAGTATTGTTCTCATAATATGAACGTATTTTAAAGTATTGTAAAATTAATCCCTAGAAAGAGAAATATAATCTTAAAGGTAATTTATTACATGTACATTTGTTATAAAGTAAGATTGTTTTTAAAACATATTATTCAGACTCTACCTATTCAAATGATGTAATAATTAAAATTGGGTGTAAGTAATAATCTTTTTTATAAATCATACATTAGTGAAAAGTATTTTGACTTTAATATTATATGTAGAATAGTATAATATTTAATGACTTATTGGAGGCACTGATGAGCCCCACTTTACCGCTAATTCGGATTAACTCCACTATAACGCTAATTTAAATGATACGCGATCGTGGATTGGTTCCAGAAATTCTTATATTCAAGTATCATTTTTTAATATTGTAAAAACTTTTTTTTAAATACTTACAAAATATATTATTGTAAAAACTAATTATAAATTCACTGAAATGTATGCAGCATTACACCACATTTCTCAATAACCATAACATATAAACCATTTCGTTTATCTTAAAGACATTTTTTTCCCCCAAAAGTTGTGTTTTAACATTTATTCAGGGCCCTAAAAAATGTTTTGCGGTAGAAGGAAATGGGGATAATTCATCCTGAACATTTACACATGAAACTAAACTATCACGAGATTTCGCATTTAACGCAGCTTTATAGCCCCAAAGGATCGCTCTGACGCAAAGTTTAATAGTACTAAAATATATTTTATAAGAAAATATGAAAATATTTGAAGCTAATTTGTTTTTCCTCCCAAGGTATACTAGATTCTATTGAAATAAGCCTCACTAAGTTCACGCAACATGAGTGTTCTACCCAATGCAAAAGTGGACTGGTATTGTCAAGAGACACATGCCAACTTACAAGTACAATTATCTTTGAAAACGTCGTACCTAATCAGACGACTTTAGTTTATTTTGAAAATATGGGACATAAATTACCAACAGTAAGTTTTAATGGTGTTAAAAATTACATATAACTTAATACATAAAGTAATATATTCAGTTCCCTTTAGACGTACACTCTGTACTTAGACATATGTTTGATCGGGATCGGGATCCTACCGGAGGCAGTATACCGTAGGGATTGAGAACCCACAAGGGTTGAATGCAGACAGGATCGGAAACCCACAGGTATCGGGATCCTATTGGGATTTTGATCCAATCGGAATCGGGATTTAAACGGGGAGGGGATCCCTCTGGATAACGGGATGCCATCGGAAAATGCGATCCCATAAGGAAACGATATCCTATTGGAATCCCTCTGGAATAAAGATCCCAATGGGGAACGAAAGTTTTTACAAAAGTTATCTTAAATGTGTTTTGATAGGAGACACATTACTTATTTTATATTCTTTACTATATGAGTATTTTTTTTTTAAATCTTGGCGCCATTTTAATGTAGATTAAAAGGCTGTATAAGTTGTTATTTATTCGAACGCAAACCCTTGCATTGCCGAAAATATTGGCTAGTAGGAAAAACATGCGTTGCCCATCTTAAAAATAAATGTACACATTTTCTGATAAAATAAATGAAGGACAACTTGATTTTTGAAAATCTGTTTCAGCCTCCAACCCCAATTAAAAAAAAAAATAGATTAAAAAAAAAAAAAAAAAAAAAGTATCTTCTCTCCAATTTTTGAAAAAAAAAATGAAGGAAAACTTGATTTTTGAAAAACTGTTTCAACCTCCAACCCCAATTAAAAACAAAAATAGATTAAAAAAAAAAAAAAAAAAAAAGTATCTTCTCTCCAGCCTTAAAAAAATGTTCGACCCTTGATTTGGATACCGATCACTATTTGACCTATTAAAAAATGTAATATTCGCTGTTGTATTTTAAGATTATCTTACAAGCTTGCCCAATCAGAATAGAATAGTTGCTTGTTGTTTTTTGTTAATCTTTTAATGGATCAGACGATTTTTCCATCATTTTATTTGATAAATGAGCTGGGTAAGTTCTTTGATGATCTTTAATGCCACATGCTGGTAAAGTGTTAACTTGGTTATTATTTTTTTAACGTTTTAAACTGATAGTTTTTTTATTTCATTTTACATCGTGGATAAAACAGAGAATACATATCAAAGAGTCGTCGGAGCCTTTTTTTAATACTTTAATTAATTATTATAAATAACACATATTTGGATTTTAGAATTGAAAAACTTGAAATTTAAAAAAAAAAACAACAAAAAAAACAAAAAACAAACTGTAATTAAAAGGAAGCTGCCATTATTTTAAAAGAAATACCCTATTGTACTGATCTGGAAATATTTTAAGTCCTTATTAATATATGTATCATTTGAAGTTTTCATATCACTAAAAAGTATGAAATATTTCTTTAAAAACTATTCAAGTGATGAACTGCGATACTTTAAGAATAGGATGATGAAACACACAGCTTAACAGTTTATAACATCCCAGATTTAAAGAATTAAGAAAAAATTAGTAAAACCCGCTAAACATTTGAAATTAACAGCACAGAAAAGGGCATGGTTAATTTCGGGTTAGTTTTTGACATTGACAACATTCTGTTTTGAATGAGGTGTAAAGGAGGCTGACCCAGTATACAAAGAAAATCTCGTTACATTTTTGTATTCAATTTAATTATACTATCAACTTTATATACTATACAATTTCAAATAGATAGAAATAAAAACTGTTTAAACTTACAGAAAGTGGCAAAGTATCAATACTACAAGATGCAAATTTTATTCTTACACACACAGACACGCAAAGGGTCCTATAATTATATTAAGTCCCTTATTACGACTCGCGTATAGAAAATCTAATGACAATTTTCCCCTGTTAAGAAAGCTGTCGACATGTTTAAATAGAAGGTTTTAGAAGATACCATAAGGAAAAAAAAATATTTAAAATCCATTTATCCATATATTTCTTTTAAAAAAATATTAGAACTTAAACTAGCAATATTTAAGCGAACAATGAATGGGTAGGCAATGTTAAAGCACTCCATATGTATTTAGAGACATCCCGATCAAAAAAAAAGTTAATAGAGAAATGGCTTATCGCTTCACGTTGGAGTAGCAATAGGTCAATACACGAGCTAAAATGACATTAATAGATTACGCTGAAAAGTTTTATAATCAATTTTTTTCAAGAATCCAATTTCCATTTAATGAAAAGAAGTTCTTTTAAAAATATTGTTTTCGTTTTTCTTATTGGAAAAAAGGGAGACAACGTTCTATATAACTCTATGATTTACATGCATACATTTTTGATACAGATATTCAGCTTAAACATTCCTACAGAATGTAAGGGTTTTAAAGAAAATGCAGACCATTATTGTACAAAGGTTGAAGAGATGATATATAAAGTCACTATCATCGTAAGAGCACTTCCAAGATTTAGCAAAGCTAAAATTAGAGGTTATATAACAACTTCTAATGGAAGCAGAATATACAGTGATGCTCAAACTTTGCCAGAAATGTATGGTGAGTACTCTCATTCTTTAATATTACATACTTAGTTCAAAAACACAATAAACTTTGATTGCACTTCAGCATATATATATTTATATATTGATGACAAATGACACCACAGGCATCAACACTGAAATTAAGGTTGAACAATAGTCTCAGATGAAGGCTACAAGCCCTAACTGATTTCCAGGATTGTGCAGACTACAATAGCACTAAAGAGGCTCAAGAAAATATGGAATTACAAAAATATAGCCCCCGGCACCAAAATCAGACTGATGCGCTCATTAGTCCTCTCCATTTTCCTGTATGCCTGCGAATCCTGGACATTAACAGCCGATCTTGAAAGGAAAATAAAGGTGATGGAGATGAGATGCTTCAGAAGCATTTTTTGCATCTGCTATAGGGACCATATCTCCAATGATACAGTGAAAGAAAAGGTTCGCCAGGGAATTGGGGAGTACGATGACCTACTGGTGACTGTGAAAAAACGCAAACTACAATGGTACGGCCACGTAACAAGGAAACAAGGGCTTGCAAAAGAAATATTGCAGGGCACCACAAGAGGAGGGAGAAGAAGAGGAAGACAAAGAAAAGATAGAAGGATAACGTCAAAGAATGTACTGGACTAACACTGGGCGATACTGTTCGTCGTGCAGAAGACAGAGACGAATGGAGGAAGACAGTTCACATGTCATCTGTGGCGCCCCAAAGGTCCAATGACTAAGGGAAATGATGATATATATATATATATATAATATTGAAAACTAACTTTAACGATTACTCTTTCTTTAATTAGTCATTTTATAAATCAGACCAAAATAATCAGAAGTTAAATAAAAATTTTTAAATGTTACTTATTTGTACATTTTTGTATTTAAGTTTTTAAATATTATTACTCGGTTTATAACATATTTATAACACATCACGAATTTTTAGCGATTTGTATCAATATATGCATATTGGGAATCGATCATAAAATTGTGCGTCACTTTTAAACATGATTAAAAAATAAATAAAAAACTTAAACCAGGATTTCTCAATCTTTGACCTGCGTGCCATATCAGGAAAGCAAGGATTCCTTTACCCTACTCAAATAAAGGACGTTTTGTTAAGCTGTAAAAGCGTTTTGATCTGCTTGAAGTATTTAATTGCCCTAACATCAAGCAATTTATTCGTAAATTAAAAGTTTTCTTTATTTTAAGTAGAGTTTGATGTTCTTATGTTTGAAAGACATGTAAGATATACATAATGTAAATACAAATTCATTTTTATTTCAAAGTGTAGTCCGAGCTGTTGCATTGGGCTATTTTTAAAAAGCAAATAAATATTATATCTTCGTATGTAAATTAATTACGTTTACATTAAACTAATTCTTAGCGTTTATTAACAATTTGTCAAATTGTGTATTTTGTCAAATAAGTCTCACACGCATTTAGTTTGTTAAATAAATCTAGTTAATTCACTATAGTTAATTATTTTCTTAAAAGTTTTCGTTACTAAACTATACTCAACGATTAAATTATACTAATTTTTGTTGGTTAATTACATATATATCATTTACATTTCTCAGACACTAAAGACACCAGCGGACATTTGAGAGTAAATGGTCTAAACATGACTACAGATTCATGCAATGCGACAGTTTATGACAATAATTTTAATTTTGAGTTTGACTGTTACAGTCGTGCAAAGCCTTGTATAATAGAGATAATGGCCAATGATTTAACTGTTGTTAATCAAAGCGAAAATCACGCAGTGTTTACTTATGATTTTAAAAATGAAAGTGCATTAAATGTTATCATAAAATACAATGCGTGTAGCTTGGATTGGAACTACAAATTGGTAAAATGCAGATTTGAAAACGGTATGAATTTGTAATTTATTTTCTGTATATTATTTTTTTTAACCTGACTAAAGAAAATTGTATTGGGAAATTTTAAATTGCCAGTAAGACATTCTTTCAAAAGACGAATTAAGGTAGGAATATAATTAGAAGAATAGGATACATATATATTATTAAATAATTAATACACTCTAAAATTGTGTCAATCTTTATTTGACATAATTTAATTTATGCAGCATTACATTTTTAAATTATCTCGGTCGTAATATATATTTTTTTTTTCAGTACTCAATAGAACTTATGATTATCAAACAAATTCAAACACAGTTGCCATCGTTGTGCCTATTGTTTGTGTTGCTGTGACAGGTGCTGTCGTGATATTTATTTGCTTGATTCGGTAAGTAATCTAAGTCATGTTCTATAAATTTGCTTTCACTTATACCTATTGGTAAATTCTAAAATTTAAATAATTAATTAATAACACATAACTTTTGCACCAACTATTTTCCTGAATGGGAAAATACAAAATACAATAGCAAAAATTCGCAACTCAATACAGTACTAATTACGATTAATAAGATTTATTCATATTAATATAATTACAAAACAAAAGAAATATAATTACAATCATCAACTTACAGAGTATAGTAGATCTTGTACCGGTTCACAGTTAGTACGATGTGAAAATGAATAATTTACAAAGATGAATGCGAATAAACACATATGAGTACACAAAGAATAATACACTTGTCCCGCAAATTTAAAAATATCTATTTGAATCTCTCTATCAATCTCCCTCAATAAATCTCTCAATCCCGTTTTTATATCTATGCGTCGGTAGAACCAACGCTTCTAAAACTGTCTTCTACATTGTTTATCTTTCTAGTCAATTATAGACGTTTCCTCAAAATTCTATTAGAATATATTAGTTATTTTTAGTTGATAGTTTAGGAAAGCAACAGCTAAGATGAAAGGAAATAGACCGGGAAAACTACAAACGTCGTCTAATATGAGGTCAACTGGAGTGCATGGCACCGGAAAAGTGTTGCAAACACGTCCTACATAACAATATATATACTTTTTCCTAAGGATATTTTGGAAAGGTAGATTTTTAAAAAATGAATTAGATAGACCGAACCAGATCTAGTTTCTTTTCTTTTTTAAAATTCTTCTTCAATAAGTAATATGATGGAGATTTAGCATTCATAAGAAGAATTCATTATTTAAAAGGAAATATAAAAACAAAAATGATCTTTCAATTAACCACAATTTTGGGAGTTTATCGATTTTCCCTTAACGATTTCTTTCAAGTATATTTCAGGCAAAAACGTTTTAAGTTAATCCAATTTAAAATTTGTCACCTTTTTATTTTACAAACCTCAGTGAAAATATTGCAATTGGTAAAACATGGTTTTCCTAATTTATTTAATTTTATATTTCAACTAACAAAAGCAGTTCCACATAAATAACTAATAATTATACTTTTTTAAATGGGGTTTTTAATTTTTTTTTTACAATTTAACCATATGAAAAAGTTGTTTAAATAAGTGTTACATATTCATTTTTAGCATATTGTTTAAAATTTTTAATAAATAATTTTTTTAACCATAACAGTTTTAAATTACTGTTTATCAAGTGCAAAAATCGGGAATAATACATAAAACTTGTAATACTTTAATTCCAATATTGAACCAAGAATGTTAGTAACCAATTGTTATTACAGCCTCTGAAGCCCACTGGTAAGGTTTTTGGGGAAAACAAGTGGAACACATACATTTGTATGTAGTTCGATCCTTAATCTGATGGCAATAATTTGAAATAACCTAAGTGATCTTAAATAAGTGTGATTGATTGGATGCGACATATCCTCCATGTTTTTCATTTTTTTAAAAATGCCTTACACTTCAAAATATGTCATACCGAAATTGAGAAATAATTTTAATCTAAAACTGTATTTTGTTAATTTTCGTATATAAATTTAACCGTAAGCATGCCGGTTAGCTTAATAATAGTTACAAAAAGATATTACTTCGAGAAAATAATTAAAACTGTAGTGTCACAGCATAAATGTGTTAAAACCATTTTAGAATGAATAATTATATCTTGCAAAAGCTAAAAAATTGGAAAGTATGATACTTTTAAGAATTATTTTGAAATCTAGTTAGCATTTATCTGTTTGTGTAATTGGTAGGATTCGTCATATGTCCGATATCAATATCAGTCTTCATATTTATTTTTCAAAAAAAAGATTGTTACTTTTTCTTAAAAGATATTTTTTCCTCTTTATTTTCTAGTTTATTTTTAAGTTAATCATTTTTATTAAATCTTGTTTTCAAAGCTTTATAATAAATACAACAATTCATCCATTTTGTTCTAAAATAAATAAAATTATGTCTTAAAATATATTTTTATTTTGTATTAATAATCAAAATATTACATATTTTTAAATAACAGTTTTATATAATAAATAATCTAATATACATGTTTTGCTCTCCAAGGTATAGAAGTGTTAAAGAGAAAAATGACACTTTTGGTTCAGCGGAAAAGGTAAGTGTAAAATATGAAAAAATGTTGTTGTTTTTTCAATTTAAATATTTTTAAAAAAAATTTGTTCATCTTTTTAATTGGATTAAATAATTAATTATTTTTTGTTGATTGTGGGGGGGGGGGGTTAATAAACGTTATTTTTGTTATAAATTATCTCCAAAATAAAGAAGGAAGTTATCTCACAAAAATACCAATAATTGAACCAAGAAAAAAATGAAATAATTAATTATTTTTTGTTGATTGTGGGGGGGGGGGGTTAATAAACGTTATTATTGTTATAAATTATCTCCAAAATAAAGAAGGAAGTTATCTCACAGAAATACCAATAATTGCACCAAGAAAGAAATGAACATTTAATTTTTTTTAACATAATTTAAAGGGAAAACTTAGAAAAGAAATTTAACAGAAAAATACATTAACACGTATACAGACTTGGTTATACACGAAGATTTCTCAATATCTTAATTTAAAAACGAAATACTACAAACTAAATTTTTCCCTTTTTTTCTTATTGTCAAACATTAATAATTTGTATGTTGACTTTTAAATAACTATCAAAACTATTCTTCAATAATGTTGTTTGTAGAATGAATTGACATTAAAGTAGGGTAATAAAGCTAAACTAATTCTTATAAAAGTAATGCAGCATTTAATATATGTACATAAGTTTCAGAAAAAACCGACTTCTGTTGAGAAAGAAGTGGAGACATTCAATTTAATAGCGGCACCATCTCCTGAAGAAAAAGTGGATACGAATAGTCCGTCGACATGTTCATCTCAAATTAATTACGAAGAAGATCATCTAAAGATAGGTTTGAATACATGCCACTCTAAACAGTCTTCGGATAACAGCGAACTACAGAAACCCAGTTTGATAGTCGCATCACCGCTTAAAGCGAACTGTAATGCAAATACATCTTTGACAATGAAATCTCATGTTAATAGCAGAAATGAGCGTGTAAATTCAGAAAAAACAGGTTCTTCAGCTGATAAAGGCGATAGAATAACTGCATATAAAAGTGCATTAAAGGATGTACGTAATGAGCATACATCAAGATCAAAAGATGAGAACGATCTTATGGAGGCAATACGAGTTAATGAAGTTGGTCTCGCTAAAAAGCTGATAACATATATTACAGAAATTAATGAATACAAAGATAAGTCGGGTTTATCTTTCTTGATGTGTGCTTCACAACATGGTTTAACGGAAATCTCCTCCGCACTCATCGACAATGGTGCTGATGTGGAGGCAAGAGACAAAAAAGGTAGCACTGCATTAATGTATGCATCAGAAAGGGGTTTTGTTGAGACAGCTGAAATTCTTATCAAACATGGAGCTAATGTCAATGCTTTCGACCATCATGGTCACACACCTTTAATAAACGCGACGGATTCTGGGAAGATTAGAATGGCAGAAATGCTTATTAAATATGGAGCTGATGTTAATGCAAAGGACAAAATTTGGTTTACTCCCTTGATACGTGCGTCCAGAAACGGTTATATTAAAATTGCAGAACTGCTTATTAAAAGTGGTGCTGATATTAACTATCGTGACATAAAACACTGCAGCGCATTAAAATACGCTTCCGAATATGGGCAACATGAAATAGTTGCATTGCTAACCAACGCGGGTGCCGTGTAAAGATCCAACCTAATACTTGCTGTGCTAGATGTTATAAAAGAGTATAGCTTAGTAAGTCAAATTTTCATCCGTTGCTCAAGAGGTCTCTGGCCTGTGAAAAATGATAGTTTTCGTAAGCTAGGCAGAGGGCGCTCAATAAACTACGTCAGTTATAATGATTTTAATAAAATTATTGTAAACATTGTGAAGAAGACTAAGAATAAATTTAACATAAATTTAGTTTATTGATATGAGAAACTAATCAATGTAATCAAATGGATAAGTAATCAATGAAAAAGAAATTGCAGCAAATGCTGATGATATACCTTATAAAGACTGGTCCTTATATCTCTGAGGTTTTCGCTTAGAATAATTCATTAACTTATGATCAGATCCGAAAGTTGTAAGTATTTGACTAAATTAATAATATCACCATATTATTGAAATTCAACATGTTGTATTTAGTATACATCGCAAAGTTATAAAAATATATTTAAGTATTAAATATTTTTTTATTTTATTTTAAGATATACTTATTAAATCGTATCCAATAAACATTCAATTAGCTCAATTTCATCATCAATATTTTACAGACTGAAAATTATTCTATGCAAAAATATTTTAGATTATTGGTACTTAAAAAAAAAATGATAAAGCATTTTTAATTTATTGCACAAGTAGATAGTATAACCGGACATCTATTACAATTAATAACATTTGCCTTAGACACCCATGTATTAATTCATTAAAAAAAAAGAGATGTGCAGAATAACGTCTTGTAATAACATACATGACACAAATAACAAATATAGCACTCAGGGTAGTGGAACACCCCACACAAAAAGAAAAAAAATGTGAAAAAGAAAAGGACTTTAGACCCAAGCTGTCTACACCAAATGAGACGATACCAAACAAATTGAATATAATGAATTTAAGCAAAGCTTTGACACCTTGATATCGTATGTTCTTTATATGTTGTATTTTGTTTTATATAATGACACAAAGCCCCCATATTGCCAGACTGCCACCATTAAACCCCCTTGGGATTCCAACAACCCAGGCGAGGGATCACCTATGTTAAAGACTATTTCAAAATATTACTCCGCAAAAATTATGTATACATATTTTTTTACAATTTATAAGCTAATTATCATTACGTTTATGTAAATTTAAGCTATGTAAAGATTGCATTACCCATTTTAGCTTATTTATCGTGTAATGAGTATCTTTTTCCTAAATAATATTTCTAATATTTTCTAATATATACATATATATATATATTTATATTAACATATGAATTTTAATAAAATTTATATTCAACTTATGTGTACATTTTTTTTTTAAAGATAAAACAATTAAAAAAAAAAAAAAAAAAAAATTTTTAAAGAAAAAAAAATTAAAAAAAAAAAAAAAAAACAAATGATACGTCCTGATAAATTTATATCATTTTTGGCTGTTATAAAAAAACATTAAAAATGGAAATAAACACAAATTTATCTTTTGAAATTTGTTTTTATTTTTTATCTTTTTTTTAATTAAAAAATAAGACATATTAAGAAGCATAATTAAAATACATAAAACGCTTAAAATTTTGATGCATCGTGATACTATAAAGGTAATATAAAGAAAATTAATACCGTTTCCGCGTTAAGAATTATTTAAGGCAATATGCATTTGTAAGAACAAATAATATGTGTAAAGGCTATATTAGGCATGTACACTTGGTACGCTCCTGTATGACAGTGAAAGGGGGACCACATTTCCAGTCGTTAATGGAAACTCAACAGCTTCCATCAAATATGTCTGCATCGCATTTTACTTTATGTAACATACATTTATTTATGGTTCACACATTTTATATTAAGTTTAACTCTATTTGATTTCAAAAATAGCATATTAGTGTTACCACATAGTTAAGGGGCATGCACAGTGGCTGATTTGGAGGTCGTTATGAGTTTAAAGTCATGGGTGTTCATTTGTTACTTTGTTTATGTAATTGTCAAAAGGAGAATCATACGTTTTTCATTTAGCCCAAATGGTAATCTAGTCAAACTACGCCCCTGAATTAGTGGATGGATTATTTGAGAATAAAAATGTCTTAAAGACAACACTCGGAACAATGTCAGTCCGATGAAGATTTCTATTTTCTTTTTAATATTAAATAAATAACACGTATGCATTCGGTAAAAACTTCTTGAACTCCAAACATTAACTTATCACACCTGAGAACTAAACACGGATTTTCAGGGGAATATTGTAATTTTCGAGATGAAATGTTTAAAGCGACAACATCGGGAACCCCGAAATTAGCCAAATGTTTGGTGCCATCCCAACCAGCCTGTGCATAGCTTAATTGGTTTGGAACCTGGTCAGAATGATTGTGCTTTAAATTTTTATTGCAGGCTTACAGTGATATCAAATTCGGATTCAGGAACAAAAACTGAAACGAATGGGCCATAATTTAATGTTTATACATTTATTTTAAATCGATAGTTTTGTGGGAGATTTTTAAATTGTAATATTTTGCTTGGTAATGTGTTTTTGGAGTAAGTATTCGCTTAAAACGCTTTCAGATATTTTTTTTTGGGGGTGGGGGGGATTAGAGACACGAGGTATAGGGACTAGTGTGCTATATTTACAACAAAGTGTATTTATAAAATAAAGGGCTTCTTGTGAACTAGGAACAATCCCTCTTCGCCCTTTTTAGGAATTTATCAAACCTCTTTTTTATAACTTCTATAGCAATAAAACCCTGTCGTAAGTTATAACAAGGAGATTAAACGAAACCGATTCTCTCTAAAAAAAACAAAACAACAATAACACCGACATACGTTGAAGTTTAGGATTTTAAAATTCTAGGAATGCTGTGTCAAACGAACAGTCTGCTAAAATGTGTCGTGTTCCTAAGTGTGATGGTTATAAATCTAAACTTTATATTAATGTAAATACTTTCCTTTGTTTTACATCTAAGTGACTATGTGCAGGGACAACTACGTAAAAAAGTTGATTCCGATTGCATACACAATCATTATATGCGTATGCGGAGGGGTGAAAAAGTCACATGCGAAAATTGACTTTTTGTTGTGAAATTTTGTATGTGATTTATTCATGTGACTTTTCTTGTAACTTTTTTTCTGTCGCTTTTGCCCCTACATTATTAAGGTATTTACAATGCATAACCCTTCGAGGCTTGAATATTCTAAATAAAGATTAGGTCACGAGTCAACAGTGAAGTCTTCAGTGAAGCAAGATATTCCCGCATGTGTAAGGGAAAAAAAGGGGGGGGGGATCGATAATTTTTCCCCCCCACAGACCCCAAGGGGTGGGTTTAGGTTTTCAGTGGCGTTACGTTTTTCTATGAGGGTCATAGTTTGTGAAATGGGGTCCACCTTCCATGTTTGTTATATATTTGTTAGAAAATTAATTCCTCTCCATATAGGTTTCATGAAGATCATAGTCCATGGTAATGGTTTGCATTTTATATACATAATGATAAGTTATATATATATATATATATATATATATATATATATATATATATATTTATATATATATATANCGTTACGTTTTTCTATGAGGGTCATAGTTTGTGAAATGGGGTCCACCTTCCATGTTTGTTATATATTTGTTAGAAAATTAATTCCTCTCCATATAGGTTTCATGAAGATCATAGTCCATGGTAATGGTTTGCATTTTATATACATAATGATAAGTTATATATATATATATATATATATATATATATATATATATATATATTTATATATATATATATATACATATATATATATATCACGTGACTTGGAAATTAGATATGGCTAGAACACAGTTTGAGAAGTATTGATATTCGGCACGTGCATGTATGTCTTAACTCTCCCTCTACCAGTCAATGCGTCTCAAACTGTCTGAAGACATACATTCATTAAATAACAAATGATTATGGACATCATTTATCTTAGAATTTACATGGCCATTATGTTGGTTGGTTTGTTTGGATATTGGTTTGTCTCTTTGCAGGTTAGTGTGTCTGTTTCTGGGGTTCGTTGGCTTTTTTGTGGGTTGGTTTGCATATTGTAATGTTCAGAATATATTTAAGTAGTAATCATTTTATTATTCTTCATAAAATGAACACATTAAAAACGTTTCCAACAATCTTTTGAATTCGGATAACAAACATACATTTTCCCGGCGGTTCCGTACTATTGGTAAGGCGAGTGTGAAGTCAACATCTTTCGTCCGAGTGGTTGTTGTTATAAAACTAGGGTCTCCAAACAACGGCCGGCGGCGCGCATGCGTCTCGCGTGGGCCTCTAATGCGGCCTGTGGAGACGTTTTTGTCTACGGGTAAAAATTACGTAAATTTACGTGTACTGAGGCGATCAGTAGTGCGGCATGTTTTCCAACCGATCACTACATTGCAAAACCTTTTTCGCCAAACGCCGTTTAGCGTGTGTGTGTGTGGGGGGGGGGGGTTAAATGATTTGCTACTTGTTCAAGACTTGAGTATTTTGATCACAGTTTGCCAGTTGCGTTTGACCGCAGCGCTGGGGAGGTGTTGGTGTCAGTTACCAAAGTAGTGCGGCATGTTTTCCAACCGATCACTACATTTCAAAACCTTTTTCGCCAAACGCCTTTTAGGGGGGGTGTGTGTGGGGGGGGGGGGGTTAAATGATTTGCTACTTGTTCAAGACTTGAGTATTTTGATCACAGTTTGCCAGTTGCGGTTGACTGCAGCGATGAGGAGGTGTTGGTGTCAGTTACCATCTGATCGCGAATCATGTTGCGCTCTATTTAATTTAGTGATAATTTCCTTCGCGTAATTACTTCTCAGTGTTACTTATCAATACTAAAGTAATGGGAATGTCGTTAGTTTAGTGAGAATTTTGGGAATAATCTGGAGAGAAAACATTAAAAGCAACAGCTCCTCTAACATAAGTGGATATATCTGCACACTAAATTCGGGTAAGTTTAACTTAAGAAATCGTAAGAATTTTAAAATATTGTTTCGGGTCATTTGTAGCTATAATTGCGACAAATTTAGTTCGCAGAATCAGTTTTTTTTGGGGGGGTTTTGTTGCGATTTTTGTGTGCAAGATATTTTCAGGTTCACTATTTATTCATGTTGAATTCCCTTTAATTTTGTGCCCAGTGATGGCCAAGAAGAGGAAAAGAGAAATAGAAGATGACTGTTGGCAACTTAAAGAATAATGGAG